AGTTTCCCCACCCAGATGCCAACAGTGAAAATGATCCTTGATTTATATACTAGTGAAGCGACTTGTGCAGGCAGATATATGCTGTTTATAATGAGCGCGAAATTGTGTCCGATCACTAAAAGTTTGTTACGTGGTGAGGAGTAACTAAAACAATCAAGATATATTTAGAACAGGGAGTCTATTACACCTAAGGCAACACATATAGTGAATACAGCAGGTAACAAAAGGGACAGCACAGCCCCCCCCCCCCCCAAAAAAGCCTTTTTAATAATGTTTGTACTTTAGTGTGTGTAATGTAGTAGCAGAATGGATATGCTAGCATAAGAATTGTGTATGCATAGAAGCAGTGATGTATGCATATCACTTGAAAAGTGCGAGTGATGTTACATTTCCTTTTTGCCTGCATAGAACAGGTTCAAGGACCAAGGCGCAGATGCAGCCCCTACAGTGTTGAGCGGTAATTAGATCCGACCCGTCGCAAAGTGAGCAAAGACAGAAAGTCTCATCTGCTGCATCCATGTTTCCTTGGAGCTGGCCTGGGCACGAGTTCCCTGGTTACTGTGGGCCCTGATCCTTGAGGGGGTGGTGGAGATCCTGAGAATGCGGAAACAGCAGTCTGATTGGGTCTCACACAAACCATAGAACAGGGTCATGTGTATGTACGGGCATGTAGACCACTTCTAGCGCATGCAACTGCTTTTGAACACGTCGTGTGCACATAGGATGATACTGAACCTGGACTCATCAATTATCGTATAACACTCCGGAACAGACACGTAATGCTTGGACTTCTTCTTTTGGACATCAAACATTGGTATCTATCGTTGTGCTTTCCATGTCCTACCGGTAAATCTTCTACCTGTACGAGCTACACTTCCATTAGCTTACTAGTTCTTAGTTCAGTTTCATTCTCATCTGCTGCTCTTCCTACCATTCTATTGAGAGCCCCAAAGAAGTACATGTATTAGGTTAACCGCTAGCCAAGGAGCATTAGCCAAGGAGGACTCAAACCTGGTTATGATGAGAACAAAGAGTAATGAGAAGGAGATAAACGATGGGAAGGAGGTAGAGGATAGGAATGGCGATGACAAGGTGCTTGATGTCGAAAAGAAGAAGTCTCTTGTGTTCAAGCATTTTGTGTCTGGTCCGTAGTGTCGAAAGCTGTTCAAAAGTTTGACGATTCTAGGTAAATTGCCACCATAATCCAGTGTGCAAATAACTAAATGTAAAAACACTTGCGTATGCTAGAAGCAGTCTACATAAAATCGTACTTTTAACTGGGAACTCGGAGCCTAGTCAGAGGGAAACATGGATGCAGCGAATGGGAATTTCTGTCCTTGACCACTTTGTGTTGGGCCTAGCCTGCTTGCCCCTGACCACTTCGGGAGCTGCGTCTGCGCGTTGATCCTTGATCTTGTTCTATGTAAACGGGAAGAAAATGCAACACCACTCTCACTATTCGGGTGATGTGCACACATAACCACTTTCAAGCATACACAGTTCTTACACTACAGGCGCATAGCACCCCCATTGGAGGTGGTCCGGTTGGAGGGGGGGGGGGTCTGAGGGTGTCCCTGGGAAATGTTTGAAATTAGGGTGCAAAATCCTGCATTCTGGGCACTTCTGGGCGAAAAAGTGGTCCGGCCAAAGCCGGACCGGCTGCTACGCACTGCACTAGCATATCCATTTTGCCACTACCTTACACACACAACTCACTACCTCACACACACAGCTCAAAAGTAATACACGGTCAAAGCAGTTTTTAGGCTGTGCTGCTTTTACCTGGTCAACTCACGATACGTGTCGCCTTAGGTGTAGTAAAGATTCCCTGTTTCAAACGGGAAAGGGTGCATTCAGTAATGTGTGTACGAGCGTACATGGAATCATGAACCTAACACACTGGTAAGGGTCACTGATTCCAGACAGTATCGCACTGCTAGCGAGACAACTAGAGGCTCCCGGTGGGTTCTCCCTAGATCTGCTATGCTGTTGTGTTCTGGTCTCGGTCTTGGTGCTGGGTCTCAAGTACAGACAGCTTGTTCTGCGGAGGTCTAGTGTCGGTGCAAGGTTTGTAGTGTATTGGTTACTGTGTGGCCTGGCGTGCGGCTCAGCAACATGAAAGCAGCGTTGAGTAGCCAGTGCAGGCTGACGTAATAGGAGGACTCATCTGATTCCTTTCCCGTGCATGGTATATGAATAGTGCAATGGCGCAGTGACGGTCGTCGCAAATTACGCAGTGTATCACGCGTGGTTATCGGAAATCCATGCTTAGCTTCTGAGTCTTCCCTACTCGAAGATGATGTCACCGCAAAGCCTGGGATTTTGGGCGTCCTGGTGCAGGAAGAATGAAATTCCCGTGATGAATCGATTGACGTCTTCTCTGGAAGGATTTCCTTGAAAGTAAAATCCAGCCTGCACTGTCTGCTATGAGGTAGAATACAAGATGACGCCCAAGAGGATTCTTGGGCTCAGTTTCCCCAGGTAAAATCCACTACCATAAGCATGGTTCCTATCCTGACTCTATGCTTGAAAAGCAGATGACAGCCCACGACCAAACACTGAGACATTGATGTGACAGTGACAAAGATAACGGAAGTGCACAGCACTGATAGTCATGTCCGACGCCGGAAGGCAAACACCGTTAAAACACCGGCTACCTCCCATTTATTTCTGGGGACTGTTGCGCTGGGCTGGATTTCCCCGGGGCACAAAGTGATGTTCTAACTTGGAGGCCAGTCTCTGGCAGGTATGAACACTTTACATTATGTGGTCGCCAGCCCTGGGCGCAAGACTAAATCCTACCGCTGGTCATGTTCTGAACATGACGAAGCTGATGGCATATACTAGACTTGGCTTCAGGGCACAATGATCTATCAATGAATGCGCTGCTCCAAAAGTCGAATGACCCCCCCCCCCCCCCCCCACTGGCTTGAATCAAGGTCCCTGCTGTAACATGACAGTTCTTGAAAGCAAACAAAAAAAGACAAAGGCCATCCATTGTTGAGACAGCCCCGTCCCTGCACAGTGTTCTTTCTCAGAATAGTTCATGCGTGAACCTACAACGGGGTAACCACACATTGAATCAAAGAGGGAATTTCCCTGGAGTTGTGAACTGATATCACGGGGTACATGTACCTCTTCTGGACAGCTGAATAGAGGAGGTTATGAGTAATGTTTGAGTAGTGGTTTGTGTAGGAGGAAGTACGTCTACTACAGTTGTCATGCTTGCTTTTGTAGTCGATTGTCGTCTTTGCTCGGCCTTCGCTTGAAGTTGCTGTAGTATTCACCGTAGGCAACAGTGTGTTCTGTGATCATTGCTAATAGAAGAGATTGCGTTTGTATGTGTGAATAGTGTTGTGTTTGTGTGCTGTGGCAAGTGCCGTTCAGTCCTTCCCGGTTTATGATAATTTGGAAATGATGTTGCGTGTACGTGGGTGTATTCACAGCACAGTGCACCCATTCATTTCCATTGATCTGCAACTCAATAGTCGGGACTTTTGCAGAGTTTTACTTTGAATGGCAAGTTTGGATTTTCTGGTAGCTTCATAGGCTCTATTACAGTGGCTGGGCCTCTTCTGTGACCTCCATCAAAATGATTGTGCTGGAGAAGCGTACCTGCGGCCTCGTGTGCGTACGCTGTCTCACAAACCTACGCATTTTAACCTGTTTGCTGTCTCCCTGCCTGAACGTGTTCTGGCTGGTTGTGGATGAGTGTCACAGTGTACTATGTGCGTCAGTGTGGTTTGATAGGTTGTCAAAATGGCGTCAACTGTCTTGTACCTGTCACAACTGTAATAGCATGACCCATTGCGCAGCATGACATCACTCGTTATTTGATTTCGATGATTAATAAAATTATGTGACAAATGACGCAGGTAGTGACGCATATTCATACCTCTGAACAAGTATAGCTGACATTAACACACAACACGTAGCTTTCTGGAATTATCTAAGAAGGGAATGACTAAATTTGATTGGAGATCTACACGTTTTCTGAACAATCGAGAGCCGTGGACCTGAGACTATTCCTCATTGAATTTTTCTCCGATGACTTCATGCAACTACTGTACAACATGATTATTTCATGCTTGTAATACGTTGCCAAAATGAAAGAGGAATGTAATATGATCTCGACAAGATCTCTTGGGAGCTCTGGTAGTCTCTCTCCCCCCCCCCCCTTCCCTGGGGGATGACGAAATGACATAAATCAAATAAAAGGTGGTGGTCACCCACAGAATTATTTTAGTTGTCTTTTTCCTTCGGACAAACGTCCCTTGAGATTTTCTTGAGACCTTGAGGCCTTGAGGAGTTGCCATTCTGTTTTATCAAATTCGAAACACAGTGAGTAGCCCTGCTTGTGGTCATGTCTTGATGTTATTCTGCATCATCCATCTTCTCCTCGTTGATTGCTTGCATTTTCCTTAGTTGAAAAAGGCATGGAAAATCCTTAGGTGGTCAGTGTCCTGTCCCCTGTTCAAAATGCAATAAGAGTAAACCATGTTGCTTTTCTTCCCCTTGCATTCTCTTTTCTTCTTCATTCAGTGCACAAGTAAATTGGATTGCTTGCTTGGAAGGGGGCCCCATGTGCCAATTCTCTCCGAATATTCCGGTTACATTAACATGTTCTCCCCATTTGGGGCCTAGTGTCTTGGTGACGTATTGGCTATCCTTGTCTTGTGTGTCATGCCCACAAGGCTCTACTCTTAAGTTCATTCTTGGCCCTGGCTCAAATTGACTGGACCATGACCGATGCTGAACTAGAATCATACCAACAACTGCTGTGGATGTTAAGTCCCGGAGACAATTGTGCGTGCCTTTGGGCACTCCAGGGTGCCACCAAGTCCAGGCTTTTATCTGTGTTCTTGGCACTTGATTACACTGTAGAAGCACAACCTATTCTGTGCAGCTAACTCAACTTGAATGTATGTCTGTGTATAGTTGAAAACAATATATTGACTGCAGGCTGTTGTGGCTGTGACTATTCTTACCGCACTCTGCAGTGTATTCCACCCAAACCCTGTAATAATCTGTGATCATGGACAGTAGACCAAGCCAAACCCGTGGAGAGGCAACGTGTAGCTCTGCACCCGACTTGAGCAAGAGTCAGCGACATAGGAAAGCGTTGAAGGATGGTTCTCTTGATGAAGAGGGACAACACTACACAGTGGGTAAGAAAGAGAACTAAGCAAGATGCATACGCACACAATGAGCTATGCCTTGCGTCGGCAATACTTTGAGATTGATGATCACGTTAATGTGTTCACCGCCCACCGCCGTGTTTGTTGCATTCCATTGGCCGTAACCATGGCGATGGTTAGGGCACTTCCTCTGTGTGTGTAGTTACCTTCTCCTGTCTGTCTATAACCTGGTACTGGCATATAAAATGTACATCTTTCTCTCTCTCCCAAGTCTCTCGGGCACTTTCCCTCCCTCCCTCTCTCCTTCCCTACCTCGCTACCTCCCTCTTTCCCTCCCTCTTTCCCTCTGTCTCTTCCTCCCTCCTCTCCTGTCTCACCTCTCACCTCTCACTCTCCTCTCCACTCTCCACTCTCCTCTCTCCCTCTCCTCTCCACTCCCTCTCCTCTCACTCTCCTCTCCTCTCCACTCTCTCTCCTCTCCTCTCCACTCTCCTCTCCTCTCCTCTCTCTCCTCTCCTCTCCTCTCTCCACTTCTCCTCTCTCCACTGCTCCACTCCTCTCCACCTCCTTTCCTCTCCTCTCCACTCTTTCTCTCTCTCTCCTCTCCACTCTCCTCTCCTC